TTTTTCAAGTTTTATAATTAAATTTGGCAACTGGGACAAATGTGTTCGGATAAATGATAAATCAGATATAATAGATGTAGTACTCAAAATGGATTTTACTTTTTTGACAGATTGGGCGTCATCTTCTATATTAGATTATTATTTTCAGAGTAAATCAAAGCAGCTTCTAACCATGTTCCCCACCTTGTTATTATAGGTTCTGGTGAAAAGTGACAATCCATAAAATTTTTATAAGCAGTAATACGGTGAGGAGCTTTTAAAAAAAATTTTTTTCCATTACTTACTAGTTTATTTATACCCGGGAAAATGTCTCTAACTTTTTCGGTCACACGGTTTAAGCCATAGGCAACACAAGTTATATGAATAATATTAGAATAAAATATTTTTAATGCTCCTCCAGCTTTTATCATATATGGTGCGGCATCGCTGATAAATAACAGAATTTTATCTTGAAATAACGTGTCTCCAAAAAATTCCGTTAAACTATCATTCACAAATCCAGAAATTGTTTCATAGTTAGTTTTTTTAAATTCTTTGTAAGAAATCAGAAATGAAGTAGGCATTATTTCCGGATGAAGTATCCGAATAATTAAGCTACAAACATACAGCCCTCTAGAATTAGTCGTTTCGTCCACCATAATATAAATGAATTCGTTAGTTAATTTTTCTCGTATTTTCGTAAGAATAGATTCAAAACATATTTTTAAGTAATTTTTTCGTAACGTACTTTCATCTGGAATATTCTGACATATTTTTGTAAAAAATTCTTAAATGGTGTCGACTAAAGTTTATTGAAAGGAATATTTGTGGCTACCAAGGCAAAACACATATCTGTTAAAAATTCTTTTTCTACTAGCCATTGCTGAGGTGGTTTCAAATATTAACAATTGCACCGGATTACGATTATTCTTTTTAGTAGCAGTCATTTGTTGGTGTACAGCTAATAAGAACAAAAATCGGTTGTCTGTAAAGTCGGTTTACTGACGATAGTTGAACGTGACAACGTCTTAAGAAAATACTAATGGAATGGTAGCATTTTTTCAAACGAAAATTTTAATTTCATTTGTTTAATAAATTTGTATGTATATAGAGAAGGACGTAAATGGAAATAAATAAATACAGTAGGTTAGTGAAATATGACTGTTGTTATAATTCTTATCATGAAACTTCTTTAGGCCTGTCCAAAAATATAATATATAAATATATATAACTGTTAACACTTCAAAACTTAAAAAAATAAACGTTTTCATGGCACACGTATATTTAAAATTTAACTAAACACTATTATTTTATATGCGTTTTACGAACAGATATGTAAATGTGACACATTCAATTTTTTTTGAAAATTCATTAATTAAATAAGCTTAAACAAAAATAATTGGTTCATAATTGAGACATAAATTAATATATAATTATAACTATGTAGAATGTACATAATTACTATTATATTACTATTATAATAAAGCTGTAACTATTGTTTTAGCCAAACGTAAAACATAATAAAAAATCGTTTAAACAAACGCTATCACTTTATATATTAATATGTAAATATATATGTGTTATCTGTATACTAAAATAACTCGGTTATTATGTTTCTACGGATAAAACTAATTATACTCCATATAACCGATATAATAATCGTTGAATGAAAATTAAAGGGACCCACACACGATCATTTTAACTGTGCAGTTTATCTCTGAAATTAACCGAGAAAAAATTGTACCGTTATCTAAACTGAAGGTGTGTAGGATACATCAGTTTTTCCATCAGTTATGATCACAGTTCTTTCAGTTTTTTTCTTAAGTGTAGTCACAGTCTACTGGTATACTGTATGTGTATGCAGATGGCAATGGGTGAGCAGCAGTGTGTTGTGTAATTGCAGCAGTGCTACTTGAAGAAGAAGATAAACGGAAGAAAAGGCCCCGTGAACGCTGGAGCAAGGATTGGTTTCTGCAAAGAAGTGTTTTGCCCAGCGATTGTCATTTGTTGAACGAGTTGAAAGAAGGAGGGGAAATTGCTTTTTTCAGTAATTACCTACGAATGGATGACAACATTTATCAAGTGCTCTTGAGAAAATTTGCTCCCCTCATCGAAAAACAAAATACAGTCATGAGAGACGCAATGCCTTCTCATGTGAGATTGATAGCAACGCCTCGGTTTCTAGCGACAGGGAGAAGCTATGAAGATCTGAAATTTTCAATGCGAGTTTCCCCTCAAGCACTCGGAGATATAATCATAGAAACCTGCATAGCAATACAGATAGCACTACGAGATTTCATTCAAGTAAGTGTATTTCAATTACTTATATTACATATTCACATAAAAAATATCATATAACTATTGTTTTGGTTTTATAATGATATACTATAATTACACTACACTAATTAAGATCGCCTTAAATAAAGATAAAACATACCATACAAAACAACTATAAGAAAACATTAAGGTTCTAAATATCAAAAACTTATATTTTAGATCAGCAGTCCTTTTCTTAAAAAAAGTGTGTTTTCTGGGGATTTTTTATTTTGTAATTGGATAATTTTTTTTAACCATTTGATTTATACAAAAGAAAAAAATGAATAAGTTGATAAATATATTTATTAAAGAAACATTTAAGTTCATCAAAATTAGTAGCTAAATATATATATAGATATATATGTATTATATAATATTATTTTTACAATAGAGTATGTTCATCAAAAATCATCTTCATTTATATAGCTGAATCCTTCGAATACGCTCTTTACCGTCTGAGTATCTGCAAAAGACGAGTTGGATGTAGATGGATGTGAAAAAGAGTTTGGTGGAGATTGATACCATGAATGCGATTGTGTTGTAGTTGGCGGAAGCTCCGATGAGTGAACCACATAGCTGCGTCTGTTCAAAAGTCCCATTTGACCACCAAGCAATGTTTCATTGATAACTTTATCAGCAAACATGAGCTGTTGTGGACTGAGTTTTTTTTATTTAACCGCGTAACCCTTCACCAATGTTAGGAACGCATCGTCTTCAGCTTCCAAATACCGCGTGGCTTTAATAAGAAGACCGTGTGATGTAGGAATGGTCTTTTTTTTTTTGCTGGGTGGTGCAGAAAATGAAGTGTGTGTTAGCCCAGGTGAAGTAAATTCAGATAAAGGAACTGAAGCCTATAACATAAATAAAACTGTTTGGTCAAAATTACATATTAAAGTTGGAAAAATTACTAATAATTTAATACATCGCCATTACAGTGATCCACTCGATGCCTCTAATACACAACAGTATTACACATTTGGTTATTTTTTTTTTAAACTAAGTAGTTTCAATTTCTAAATTTATGGTTTTAGATTCCTCAAAGTGAAAAATATTGGAAAAAGGTAGCTTATGAGTTTCAAGAAAAATGGCAATTCCCACGCTGTCTCGGTGCGGTCGATGGCAAACATGTTCAAATAAAAAAACCGGCAAATTCAGGCTCTCGGTACTTCAATTACAAAGGTACTTTTAGCGTCGTATTAATGGCTGTAGTTGACGCTAATTACGAAATTTTAATGGCTGATGTGGGAAAAAGTGGAAGAATTTCGGATGGAGGCGTGATTAAAAATACATCTTTCTACAACAGTCTTATAGAAGGTGAACTAAACATTCCACCTCCTGAACGCCTTCCAGGAAGCAACAAGACTGCTCCATATGTTTTCATTTCAGATGAGGCTTTTCAGTTGACGGATAATTTCATGAAACCATATGCTTTGTCTGTGCTTAATAATGAAAAACGCATTTACAACTATCGTCTATCAAGAGCAAGGAGGGTCGTTGAAAATTTTTTTGGGATTCTAGTATCTAGGTTCGCAGTTCTTGGAAAACCCATCAATCTACAACCAAAAAAA